GATGACGAAATAACGCAAAAATAACTGGTTGCACAAAAGCTCTCTCCGCAACGTGGCGGCGAGGATGCATGCAGAAGTGTCCATGTGATTGGTCTGGATGTAGCATTACGGTGTAACTATAGCACATCTGTAAAATGAAGAAACGAATGAGCGAACTTTGTCGTTTCGTTTTATGTATTTCTCACGCACTCACTGAATTATAACAGCTCTCCACAATACTTTCCTTGTGCACATCCCATTCACATTGCAAGCGGTGTTTACGCAGTAGTGCATTTAACTCGGTGGACGCTTGAAATAACCATTTACATATTTGATGATCGCTCAAATCTTAATTTTTACTCTAACCATCCTACTCGAGTTGCCAAGCACATACATGTTTATCCACAATAATTAATTGTTCATTGTGCATTATATATCTTGCATCACAGGTAACATTATAACTTTCAAATACTGACCGCTGCGAAGGATGCGCAAGTCCATATGGACAAATGTTTTCTTATTTAAAGGACAAAAGTAGTATGGGCATTAGTTTACACTACAAAGCTTGACGAATCCCTACCTTTTGGTTGTAACGACAAACTGCATGACCTGAATCATGTTTTGTAGTATTTTAACCGAATAACACGAAGTGCCTGACAAACAAGAATAATTTTACTTTTTCCGTCCCAATAGCTCCAACCTACAAAGCCCAGTCTAATTTGGAAAAGCATCAAAGCGTTTCACCCATTCGGTGTTCGTCAGTGGTTCATATTCACCCGATTCCTTACTAAGATCAACTCTTTGACCACCAGACGCGGAATAGCTGGTGGATCGATCTGTTTTCTATAAGCATACTACTTGTCAAGTTAGATCCAAAAGTTAAGGTAATGGATATATTTTTTTGAAAAATAATCGTTTATTATATGTTAGCTTTTGAATAACAAGCGGATTCAAAGAAGGCTCTGTATAATTTATCAGTACCTAACTCCAAGGAATACCTTGAAACGTAGATTTGTACATGCGCACATACATTAAACGTTTTGCTCTGCTGTCATCAATACATTGTATGGTTTTGTCCAGTCTGACCTTATTATCATTAGACACCCGTGACGTCCGGAGCATAATTATATGGGAAATTAGGTGAATTCCAGCGGGCAAACATATAGGGATGCTTCCTTCACCTCAGCAGTAAGGCCAACGACACTAACACTTTTCAACTCGCACTAGCTGGATAAATTTTAACCTTTGCTTACCAACAAAGTGGAATCCATACTTAGGGGCTGCGGATTCCAATACCTGATGTCTTAAGCAGAACGACTTTATCTACTATTTGTAATTCGTAATAATGTCCCTACAATTACGCAACAAAATGCAAAAATTTCCAGTCAATTTGGCTACTGATATTGGCACACGTATAGGGTCAGCAACTTGCTAAAATCTTTGCTGCACCCAAAGTTGTCCGTGTCAGGACACTGGTATTTTCTTTTTACAGCTCTGAGTTATGAAGCTAACATATACGATCAGCGAACCCATCGTTAGTTATAGTCACTTCACTTAAACATACGCCGCTTGTAATATTTTCCTTTTTGGTCATCTTTATTTGAATGTTTGCAACTACGTCCATATTGCCAGTTACATGCAAACTAGTACATACTACCATGCGCCTGCATTTAGGGCGCTCGAATCACGGCACAAAATACCCCATCTACGTCAACCACGTGATCTGCTACCCTAGCTCTTTTTATGTTTAGCAACTGCCATTTTATATAATCACCATTGCATTTTAATGTATTCCGCATTTTCCTTATGTATTTCTAAAAGCATATAACTATCAACAAAATTCTGACAACCTTCTCTTATGCACGTGGACTGTAAAGCGACACGCAACATAACGAGTCGTATATCCCTACCGCATTTCCTCTGAATGCGGTAAACCTAGTGAAATCATTATATCAATATTGCGCTTCCTGCTGATCCAACAACATTTGACGGTGAACATATCAAATGTCAACGCGAAGAAATCTGTGAAAATCTTGTGTTCTATTAAGTGAAAATGTCTAATTTAATCCTTATGCAAATCCAGTTTATTTCACTAACTCACATCAAGTAGCCTCTCCGGTGACATGATCTAACAATGAATGGTACTATTTATTGAATTAAGGAATTCGAAGTATCAGTCAATCACAATGGCCGGGAGCGCTTACTCCGCACATCCAAAATGGTCTACCATTCAGCCGTCGGTAAACTAGGCTAGAGAATGTAGCGAGGCCAATAAATTAGTCGTTGTCCTTTTATTGAACATCCATCTATCATTCTTGACCGCTGATGTATAAATATTATAAGAATACCTTGAGAAAAGTTTCTCCAAAGTAATTACGGATTCAACAAGACCGTCTAACACTCCATTTATTGAATTCTTTTTTTGAACACAGCGCAGGCTCAGCCGCTGCTTAATATTTGCCATAAATATTGGGCGAGCTGAAACCAGTCATGAAAAAATGTCTCCACGAGCAATTACCCGGCGGCTGGAAGGTACCCAGAGGATGCTGTTTGTCAGTTTGCTCTCGGGGCTCAAGTATCTGCCTCCCTTAACTAGCATGACATTATTACACAATGTTCTGCTTTTTCTCCATAAATAAAGGTTGCATCCAAAAAGACGTCATTTACCTTTATCCGAAGGTAATACTCTAAAGTGCAAAAATGTCACCTATCTATGTACATACAGGTTAACTGGAATTGATTTAACTTGTCATCTGATTGAATACCAGGCTGTGTTAGGCCAATGTCAGCATGGCTAGTAATGTTTGTGACAAAACATGCCAATGCAAGGTTTTTCTATGGCACCAAATGCGCAACATCGAAAATTTTTATTTGGAAATTACAGGCAATCGATCTCTAACTGATTAATACTAAGTATTACACTAAATATGCTTTAACTTTTACTGATGTACTATTCTTGTGGAAATCATTAGAAGCGATACATTTTTCATTTACTTATTCACTCATAGATTTTGGCCAGAAAAGTGTGCAATACTTAAATTTTTTTGTGAGATTAACCTAAGTTGCATAGGCATGAGCAAGTAGTGTGCATTGAATAGAAGCTGTCCTTGTCTACCATGCATATTGACGTCAGCAGTAATACATTAATTAGAACAATTGTGGCACATGCTGCTTTTATCTGGATGGCTGCATAACATGAGTGAGCGATTCATTTTTATAACATTTGTCGGAAACTACAACCTCCTCTCACAAACATTGCTTCGCCAACATTTGTTGCTTAGTTAAGAAACACTCACTTGTGTGCATTATTATGTATAATGTTTAAGCCAAAGACCCACACATCTCCCCCGAAACGGTTGTTCGCAAACTAAACATCCAACCGGGTTAACAACAAGCAATCTATTATTTGGGAATGATTATAACAAATTGTTCATCGCTTTGCGAGAAGGAAACGCTCAAGGTATGAGCGCTTATTAATATTGCTGCTTCAAATTTTTTTACTGCATTGATCGGAAGACAAAAATATTTATCGAATTTCCATATGAAATGTTCTTATTTTAATGCTAAAGTCGTCACAAAGCGCAAGCAGGCGGTCCATTACCATTTTCTAATGAAAGTTGCGGTTAACGAATTTAGAAGTTTCGTGTAAGCTGTACTTCTTTATATGTTTGGTTGTTGCACAACAAAGGAATATGTATGTAATTATAGGATAATCATGCAATTTGGAAATTACAAAGGGAATAAATCAAAGTGTGTGTTTATGTAAATAAAATAATTGGATGTTGTAACATTCATAAGCGTGATGCAGTTAGGGATTGTTTGATCGAACGACGTATAAGGATTTGTGGGTTCTGTCTCAAGAAATCAGATATTTCTTTCAATCTGTATTTGTTTAATAGGACCAGATATTTACTGTCCGTTTCAAAGAATGGGCCGCCAAGAACCTGTTGGCATAATTACGTTTTGCCAGATTAATAATTGTCATTTAGCAGGACTATTTAGCTTCTACTAAACATGCTGTTACTAACCTGTTGATTGTTTTTCCGAGCTTGATTAAGAAATCGCATACGTTTCACCACCATGCGAGGTGCCCTATATGAAGAACATATCTGAAATGACTGCCAGATTGCTCAAACAATACAACATCGTGGTCGCGCATAAGCCAACCGCTACTTTGCGAAGAATACTATCAAACCCAAAGGATATGAGGAATGCACAAGAACGAACAAACGTCGTGTATAAAATAAATTGCAATAATTGTGAAATGAACTATGTGGGGCAGACAGGAAGGAAATTATCCACAAGAATACAAGAACATCAGAGGGCTTGTAAAAAACATTATGCATCGTCTCTTGTCTCAGCGCATGTAGATGAGGAGGGACATAGCTTCAATTGGGACCAAACAGTGATTTTAGCTCAAACAACAACACAGAAAGGAAGAGAGTTCCTAGAAGCATGGTACTCCCCTAATAATTCGATCAACATGCGCATCGACATTGACCCCGTGTACCATCAACTCCGAAAGAAAGATCTCCGGCGAATCGCAAGACCTGGTTCAGCCGTGGAAGCAAATGGGCAGAGATCACGTGGCACAAATCGAAATCGCCACCTTCAAAAGTCACCTGCCTGTGCATGACGGACTGACAATCCACTAAGCAGCAATACACACTGCCTATTACTGCACTGAAGATGCCACCTCGCATGGTGGTGAAACGTATGCGATTTCTTAATCAAGCTCGGAAAAACAATCAACAGGTGAGCAACCAAACCGAGCTACCAGTGTTCCAAGTTATTTCGAATGCTGTTACTAATTTATTTGCAAAAATATGATAGTAAAACCGGAACACGTAAAATTAGCAGTTAACTGGAAAATTGTTCCATTCACTGCCCTTTCATGAGCCATATATAAGAAGCCCAACTATCCATCGTTGACAACAACCACTCATTTCTTGTAAGTGCTGATGTGTATATTCCAGTACCCGGTTTGCACTCAGTTTCTGTGCCGTAGTTTCTCACACCCGCTAGCAGCCACTTATTTGTGTACGGTATCTTGCAATATAGTCCACTTCTGCAGTCTCGTTCACACGAATCCTAGAGGGAAAGTGACGAAGAAGAAATAATTAATAGTTCGTAATGCGACTTCAATATGAATTGAGAAATGACGTGGATATATCACTGAAGCCTGGTAGCTCAGGTTGTTCAGGTGGCTGTTGAACTTTCCACTGAGCTTGGCAGATATTTGATAGTAAAACCTAAACGGGTGAAATTGCCATATTAATTGAAAAACGGCCCTGTTAAATAGGCCTTCACGAGCTACGTGTACGACGTGCGTTGGTCATTAATTTTTATCTATCATGGTCAATCCTTATACTAGCTCACTAAAGAGATAGTATGCCAGATTCACCAATGTCAGGAATGGGTACGTTAACTGGCATGAATGAATAAAGACCCCATTCAGCTATGGGATTTAACCAAGGCGCTTAAACTGCAGTAATTTTATTTAAGTTTGCAACATCTCTGTCTTAAAATAAATCGGAATTGGATTACCTTCAACATCCAACCTGCGCAAATTTGATATTCTTTTCGATGTTTCGGATAGTACTTAAGGCATTTGCTTGCACTCATTATTGGCAGAACGATCGCCTGAAGTTCAACTGGCTCCGACTTGTTGAATTTAGACGAAAACCCGTTATCGGCGTCTTTGTCATCTGAGTTGAGCGGACCGTGGGAGATGTCGAACGAGTTGATTTCCGTATTACTTTCAATGCTTCTTGGCATCTGACCCCAACCAAGAGCGTAGCATTGGGTGCCGTGTTCAAATTCAATCGGCTGTGTTGATATGCAAGCGTAGTTAACCTCCTTAGCTGCAACGTAGATAAGTACGTGTAGTTGCGTTACACAACATGTTCCTTGATAAACCAGGCTTAATTGAGTTATTTAGCAACATATCAGAAGTTTTGGAAGAAGGTATCTAGAGTACAATATTATTTGGCCAATACAAATGACATGTTTGCAACAACCTAATATCAGTGATTGTCTTACGCGTTGTCTTTTCTGTTTGCATTAAGATATTTGGAGCCATTTTAAAGAAATTTTGTGAAAATTGGAACATCACCAATGATATTACGTAGGTGCTAAGAAATCCTAATTAACAGACCACTCTTATTTCGGCCCACCCATTATGACCGCAAACGTTCTAAAGCTGCCCGCAAGCTCAGTTGCCCAGCACGTACTAGACTGCCCTATTTGCCTAATTCCACACGAATCGTTCCGGTTCATTATCCAAAAGCGCAATTGTTGAGTGCTACAGTTTGCTGAATCTTCAGCAATTCGGCGGCTGATACCCAATATTTACAGACGGACCAAGTTTGGGAACAGTCACACATTGCCTTGGTAATATTCTAACTGTTTTCAAACTATGCCGTTGAATGATGTGTTATTTTAAAACAATACCATTTTCCCGGAGTGCTTGTTAACAGCGCATGATATTCTTCTAGCTATTGTTCGCCATGCATTGATATTTTTTAGTATTTCTTTCGCACCTCTTTATTTTGTACCTTTGAGTTCTCTTCCTAAGTTTAGCTTATATAACGTGACTGCTAATACAAAGATTGTCTGAGCAGGCAACGGGGGTATAAACGGATTTGCAAGGGTGCACTGCGGGTATGTTAGATCATTCAAGGACTCATTAATGTCTTTAACTATTGGCTTAAAAACGTACTTAAGATGGAACTTTTACTGGGCTATTCAGTTGTTCTAGTCCCAAGTGAACTTGAACTTAAGTATACCCAAAATATCTGCATTAAAAGTGTCACATAGAAATGTTTTTCCTTCTTGCTAGATCATTATTTTTCAGTAAAACAGCTTGCATGCAATACATAATTTCTTGGCACAATTGTTTACTGTCAGATTGTTTTGATAAAGGCAGCTATTGTGGGTACATGCGTCGGTCTTCGCATGTACATTTGAGAAGTAGGAGAATTATTTGCGCAGGAAATGGTGCTGATCACAAATGATGCCCACATAAGCTTCGGCGCCTGTTTTGACAAAGAGTTTTCCTCACAATTGGCCGAGTGGGAACCGATTTCGTGACTTCGCAAATTGTACCACCTTGATCGCTTAACTTGGCGGTACAGTTTTCCTGTGGTACATAGAAAGTCGTCGCAACCTGCCAAATAATTCTATTTTTTGGTTAGGTTATCTGGAATTAGCATTGTATTACCTACTCTATGGTGATTAAATGTTCAGAAGACATCCACTGCGATTGCGATTGGGGATACAATATCCAAGGAAAACATCATTTATATGCTTACAGTTACAGACTTTTGAACCGTGATCAGCAGAAAAGTAATATTTAGGGATTTGATAAACCATATAATGGCAGGCTAAATTCATTGAAGCTTTTAAATATATTCGCACCATAACAGCTGCTATCATCCTTAAATTCGGAAAGTAGTGTAGGCATTGGAGGAGAGAAGATGGCTTTTGCCATGCTTAATGCATTTCTGAATACTTTTGCGAGGAAAGTAATGGTTACTTAATATGTTAGTCTCCAATTACTGGGTCATTAATTGTGACAACCTCATATATCATTAAGATGAAAATAGACCAAGCCAAACAATAATCACCGACAATTAGCTGTCATAAATTTAGACTCACACAAATTTGCAGGTTTCGCTAATTGCAGTAAAGCCATGTCATGTCCTTTATATAGGTTATAAGTATCATAGTAGGTATTAACGAACATCGTTTCAATCAGGTATTTCTCAGCACTTCCATTATCCGCGCTGCTGCGGTGATTGCCCAAATAAGCGAAAAGTGTTCTGTTATTGGATAGCACTGCAGTAGTTGGCACTCCTGCATTGACGTCGATGCCGTTATCGCTAAAACAGTGAGCAGCAATGACGATCAATTTTGGGGAAATCAGCGTTCCACTGCAAAAGCAGTCTTCTTTTCCTTCAGGATCGCTTGTGATCACCCGAACCTGCGACTGTTTACAATAAGTATGAACGGGTAGTGATGCGCAAGTGTTTTAATAATCTCGTAGCTACAACCGTCTTTATGTAAGCAAAATAACTCAACTCTGAATCTATTAATAGCATTTTACGGTTATTCTCAATTAGTGACATAAAATACTGCAAAGGGTTTCCAGCATAAGTATACTACAAATATATATGCTTAACAAATTTATCTAAGCTCGTTTGGAGACCTTATATACTGGGAAAACGTTAGTGTTAAAGAGGCTTTTTAAGGTAAGGGATTCGGTTCCTTTTTTGAATAAAATTATAGTTTCCTTGGGGGGAAATATATAAAATAGACCAATGGAAACATAATTTCCAGTAAACATTTCATCCATGTTTAATAATCATCTATGCGCTTATTAGCCTCGTAAACAGAAATACCACTATTTTGGAATTTTATAATTCTTCTATATGATTTATGCGGTACAATTTATCTCTCAATTGTGATCATAACACACATTACTACAACAAAGAAACCATTACATATTATCATAACATCTCAAGATAAATAAATATCTACTACAAGAATAAGAATATAAACGTTCCACTTAAGGAATGGAAAGCTATTTTTCGTATAAATGTCACATGAAAGGGAGCAAAATGTTCAACGATCATTGATGAATAATGCAACAGTTTGCAGTTGGAACGAGTAGCCGCATACCGTCACAGAACACATCAGAAGTTTAACTAGTGTACTAAGTCTTACGTTTCCTTATATATTTGGTAGGCATCGATGAACAAAGCAAACTCAAGTTTCCCTTCCATAACTAAACCAAAGAACAAAAAAACTGCCCAGTTATTTAGACGAGCTTTAATATGAATATCATTCGTCTGGATGCAGCGATACGTTTGTCCATAACCCGGTTGGACGCGGATGTAGGAAATTCCAGTAGCTTCACGCTTGGCCAGCATAAACGCTGTTTCTTCAAAAATCTTTTCAAACAGTTCCTAAAATATGCTCCCAAACGCAATTTCACACAGGGGCTATGGACACCTTGCACGGCCGCATGATGAAAGAAAGCAAACAAAAGCCAACTACCTTGTTTAAAATACCCAAATATTTCCATTAGCCTCTCAAAGAGATGCAATTTAGGGACTTTTCTATGTGTAGCTGATGTCATACGAATGTCACTACCAAAGAAGCGTTGAGCTTCAAATTGATTACCGCGTTTGATAACACTCACTGCGCATGGGTATTCAAGTTAATCCGGTTGTGGTGTTTCCAAACATCTACTACAATATAAGTGCGAAAACACAAACTCGCTCAAGACGTAGTGAATATTAGCAAACGATCTGAGGTTTATGACTAAAAGGAGCTATCACTCTCAGGTTTGTTGGAGAAGCTAACACATGCCTACATATTGTTTATTCTGATGTGGTCTGCGACATTACGTCTTTTTGCTTGCCAGTTTCAAATGTTGTTCGTTGCACAAGGAAGCCTTTACAATGTTGAATTTAGGCATGTGCGCAAAGAGCACCAAATAATATCTCCAGCAACAGATGTCTCCTTATTGCACTGATTGTAAAAGGCGATTTGCTCAGGCACTTCTTTTTAGGCAATGGTCAAAACACCCGTTTTTAAAATAATGCTCAGTTTGTCCAAGTTTACATTCATTGCATGAAATTGCAGCTTCAGCTTCCAGTATTAAATAGCTTAATTTGCACCAAGGTTCTCACACTGAATAATAAACTAGCTTTTCCTTTGATTCATCCAGCTAAGCAACAAAATCAATTACGTATGCGTACTGGAATACAACAAATAGTCGTTCTTTTTCTGTCCAGCGTAATATTTTTTCTTTGATGTCTGAACAATTGCGCCTGTTCTTATTATAGCCAGAGGCATATAGGAAACGATGCGTTTTGGATGATTTGAACTTTTGACATCCTGTAGTCACTTAACCAAATTGTCATATTTTAACAAATGTTCGCGTGCCAGCAGCGTACATATATTACTAGGACTACTAGACAGAAATAAGTGGTGCTTTTTGTAAGGCGATTAACTGTTTTTAGATTGCCGCCCTTGTCATTATATAAAATATTACCTACCACAAATAAAGCTACATAGTATTATTGCGGCAAATATTTTTGTAGAATTACCCGATAATTTATTGTTTTCTTTTGTTTTTACACAGGTACTCACATTCTCACGTTAATGATGCAGAACATGTTTTGAAATTTTACAGGCAATTTTACCGCACGATCTGTGGATTCGGTGCGAGCAACGCATCGCATTGGGTTTTTTAAAAACAATAGATGATCGGTTGCAATTTTAAGACATACAAATGTTCATCAGCATAAACTGCACCCATTGGACAAGAAGCGCGATTACCTCACGTTTGTTGGAATTTTCCTCAGAAATGCTTGTACTCAAAGAATGCTTGTACTCAATAAACATATAACAAAATCGCAGCTTCCTCGTTCATGAAAGATGTTGTACTCTAGGTATAGGAGCTAAATTTTGTAATTAATTTTATGCTTTAAACTAATGAGTTTTATACCTTATGTTAACTTTTTTGAAACGCGGCATAATTGTTAATTTTAGCTGGATTTTTCTCATGTAGTTGAATCAGAGTTCCTTACAAGCGGATAATGAGGTCCGAACAGGGTATTATAAAATGAAGAAGGCTGTGATCCAAATTGTTTTGTGCAGGTCTTTTCTCTCATTCTGTCAGGTGTCATCGATACATTCTTTAACCATTTGCGCAGGGATTGTGATACCCGAAACATATTAACCGCGACTTTTACATTTACATGCCAAATTAATCGGTAATCCACGCCTAGGCAGTTTACAGTATGCACTGACATATTTGCAACTTGGTACTAACTAGTGTACCAAAGCAGTACATGATAACCTTTGTTCCTTTTTTAGACTATTTATCTTTACATGTTAATGCAAAGGCTAAAAAGCAAAATATACATCATTGGATTGTGTGAATTTCAATCTTTAAACAAGGTTACATTTGTCTAGCAATTTAGGGACACTTTATTGTGTAGCTGATAAGCCATACGAATGTCACCAAAAAAGAATCGTTGGAAAGCTACATTTTTATTGTCAAAATCAGTTCAAACTCACCAGCCATGGCCACGAATTCGGTGTTGTTCTTTCGGCTCCAGTAGGATTAAATGCACTGTCTTCTTTGGTGGATTGGACTCCACAGTTTTCAAGCAACCCTATACAGAAGAAAAAGCGCTTCCACTTAATACCAATTGTTGGTTCATATAACATTTCCTGTGTGTGTTATTTGCACTGTAAATATGGTAAAATAGAAGAAATGTTTGAAATCGGAAAATCTCCATTTAGGTCCATCATAGCTTACAAAATGTCACCGCATTCTGTTTGAGGCCAACTAAATAAATATTGAACCTATGGTTGCGGTTATCGCATGCAAAATACAAAATAACCGGCTAGAAGTTTACAACACCAATTTCGGCGCAATCTGTTATGCGCGTTTCCTCTCCTTTTACTTGCTGCTGAGAAGTGAACATGCTTGCTACATTTACCACTACCCAAGGCTTCCTACACGAAAAGGCTTTGCTTTGGTTTTAACAAAAATATATCCTTGCAAAGGTATTTTAATAACCTAGACTTTGTTAAGCCAATGACTTAAGATTTAATACGCCTGATTATTTCAAAGCTGCCATCCAATCTACGTGGGGGCATAATTATGTGGCATTACAGCAAACTACAATACAAACCAGTGGTTTCGTTGGAATGCTGGGTCACCGTTTCGCTATGCTACAGTTTGGGGAATTGATCTGATAGTAATTAGTTCGTGTCAATCGTAGTTTTCGCCATGTTTTTCTACGTAAAGAATTTTGTCAATTATCTGTTTTACCTTAAGTTACTTAAAATATAAAACCAAGTTCATATTTACTTTGACTGAACGGTAGGCAGTCTGTAAGACTGAAATTCCATCATCCAACTAGTCAGTGATATTTTGCACTAATTTATAATAAGTAATCCAAAAATGTGTGTCATCATCTAACCTAACAGGTGAATGGATGACAACCAACAATTCATAACAGAACTGGTGCCTGCAAATGAAGAGACGCTTATCCAAAAACCACTGGTATTCACCTACGTTGCAATACACCAAATGTTCACTTTAATTTGATACCATTTGTGTCTCACGTAATTTTGGTAAAATGGTACGTAGCCGATGGGCAACAACGCATGCTACAACATTCGGACAGACGTAGCTACAAATAGAAGTTGAGCAACATTCTAAAATTTTGCTATCTGACCAAGCTATATCCAGTCTCCTAAATGTTTCAAAAAAGTGATCATAACCGAGTTAGAAATTATGCACGATTGTTGCACCATGCTAACGTCGTACTAGAGAGACAGAACAAAAAACCCCACTTCATTGAGGAGTGCAATTTGGGTCGGTTCCACAATTTGAAACGAAAGTACCCAAGCGTTATAAATGTAATGAATACTGAATACTGAATACTGTATTATAGAGCAAGTAGAAATGGATTCTGTACAACTCTTTTGAAATATGGCGAAAAACGTTATAAAATTGTCAACCGTGATTATCATTGTCGTTCTCATGTAATATTTAAAGTATTCGACTTACGATATTTCAGGATTCACAAATGTGATATGTCATCGCAATTATGCAGTCCTTCTCTGAAGCGAATAGAGGCAAAATACAAATCTAACAACGTTTTGAACTGCTGCACAAATGTTGCCTCAATCACATGTTCATTTAAAATGTTCCAAATGTTTACCACTCTCCGTTCGAAGCACAGTGGGTGGGGAACACATTTCATGTCCGGCACGACAAGTTTGTATCTGTGTCCGCGTGTGCTGCATGGAACTCGTAAGTGCAGTATTGGCCTTATCATGGGAAAATCACCAAGGTGTAGAATACGGTAGGTCATAATGAGGTCGACTCGCACACGAAGGTAGGACAAAGTGTAGAGCCCTAGTTTCCCGCATCGGTCTTCATACGCAAAGCCACGTAAACTCGGGATCAGCCTAGTAGCAACGCGTTGAACCCGTTCGATCTTTTGTGCCTCGCATCGGGTAATCGGAAAGTAGGCGGGCGAACCGTATTCTAGCATTTGTCTAATGATAGAAGAAAAGAGGCGAGTGGCAACCTCTTCAGACCATGTTCCGAAGCTACGTTTGAGCGCCCAAAGCATGCGCGGTCCGTTCCGATATAACCTGTTCGTGTTGTCAACGGACTTCAAATCGTAGCGTGAGAGTACACCTAGGTCCTTCACGGAGGGTGTGGGATATAGCGTTTGGTCGTCAAGAGTGTAGGTTCGGCCGTTAGCACCCTTCCCCAGGCTCATAAATACAGACTTGGCTGGGTTGACCGAGAGAAGAACTTCTGCAGACCAAGTGGATAAGCTGTTGAGGTCTTGCTGAAGTAGGCCACAGTCATCGGGAACGTCGATTACTCTCCAAAGATTCATGTCGTCCGCAAACAAGGCACACGTCGACCAGAGAAGCTGCGGTAGATCGTTGATGTGGATCACGAACAGAGTGGGCCCCAGCACAGTGCGTTGATGCACGCCAATTGTAGAGGGTTACCAGTCAGTTAGATGGTCGTCGACATGTACTCTCCACTTTCGTCCGACAAGAACGTCACGGATTCACCGATGCAGTGAGCCACCGACACCACACAAGCTGAGTTTGGGAAGGAGCACCTCATGATTGACCTTGTCGAACGCTGTACTGAAATCGATGAATATTACGTCGACGGACCTCCCATCGTTTATTGCCTTCAACCACTCATGCCTCGTCACAAGCTGGTTCGTAATGCATGAGCGACCTGGCATTAATCCGTGCTGTGCGGGCGTCAGGACATCGTTTGTCTGTATCAAATGCAGCAATCCATTATTCACGATTTTCTCAGCAACCTTTGCCAAAATTGGTGTCAGACAAATTTTCCTGTAATTGTCTGCTTTACTAGGGTCGCCGCCTTTCGGAATAAGCTTCACCACCGCACATTTCCAGTCAACCGGCAACGAACCTTCGGAGAGCGACCTGTTGAAAATGTCAGTCACCATAGGAGAGAGGATTTTTGAAAGTGACTTGAAAGTAACTTTCAAAAATCCTTACTCCTATGGTGACTGACATTTTCAACAGGTCGCTGTCCGAAGGTTCGTTGCCGGTTGACTGGAAATCTGCGGTGGTGAATCTTATTTCGAAAGGCGGCGACCGTAGTAAAGCAGACAATTACAGGAAAATTTGTCTGACACCAATTTTGGCAAAGGTTGCTGTCAAAATCGTGACTAATAGATTGCTGCATTTGCTAAAGTCAAACGATGTCCTGACGCCCGCACAGCACGGATTAATGCCAGGTCGCTCATGCATTACGAACCAGCTTGTGACGAGGCATGAGTGGTTGAAGGCAATAAACGATGGAAAGTCCGTCGACGTAAAATTCATCAATTTCAGTAAAGCGTTCGACAAGGTCAATCATGAGGTGCTCCTTCCCAAACTCAGCTTGTGTGGTGTCGGTGGCTCACTGCGTCGGTGAATCCGTGAATTTCTTGTCGGACGAAAGTGAAAAGTACATGTCGACGACCATCTAACTGACTGGTAACCCTCTACAATTGGCGTGCATCAACGCACTGTGCTGGGGCCCACTCTGTTCGTAATCCACATCAACGATCTACCGCAGCTTCTCTGGTCGACGTGTGCCTTGTTTGCGGACGACATGAATCTTTGGAGAGTAATCCACGTTCCCGATGACTGTGGCCTACTACAGCAAGATCTCAACCGCTTATTCACATGGTCTGCAGAAGTTTTTCTCTCGGTCAACCCAGCCAAGTCATTATTTATGAGCCTGGGGTTTGGTGCCGTCAAGGTTGTCGAGTAGTTGAGCTACCTCTTCAACGCCGCATTGCAGACTATCGAGTTCGGTAAAATCGGTACACGTCGAACTCGGAACAGACACCTGGTTATTCGCAAATACAGTAGCGAAGTGCGCCACCAAAGCGGACGCACGCTCAGTGTTGGAGGTTAGGGGCTGTCTATACGTGCCAACCAGCACTGGTACATCAACTGCCGGCTTCAGGCGTCGCTTCACGTATGCAAAGATTCTCTATGGGGCGGTCTTCGCGGCTAGTGCGATTCGTTCTTTGAAATGTCGGCGTTTATTCGTTTTTGCACTGTTGCAGAGGTTCGGCTGACATTTATACCCTTCGTAATCATTAGCAGAGCTAGAGAGAAGGAATTTGTCCTACTGTCTGCGCCGCCTCCGTGTCCGGTTTCTATACTCCTTATCAAACCAATGAGGCTTAATCGGTCCAACCTTTCGACATGTCAATGGCATAAATTCGGAACGCACTGATGTCAATCTCTCTTGTATAAATATTCAACAATCTTCCACAGATGCAGCTTGTGACAGAGTCCAATCCAGTTGGCTCGTGGTTCGAGCTAGACCATAGAAGTCTGTTTTTCAATAGTTGGGAGCTGGTTGCAGCGGATGTGAATACGGCAAAGATAATTCCATATCAGCTATTAGTACTGAGTTGTCGCTCCTAGCCAGGGGGTCAAGGATCCTAACGGCATGCACTCGTTGATCGTAGCTCGTTAACATCAGGTCGAGACAGGACGAGGTTGAACATGTTGATATGCGTGTTGGCTGGCATATGTGTTGCGGTGCACCCGTTTCAAGTACCAAATCCACGAACCTTGCTTCAACCTTAATAGGTCTAGGCATCAAATGCACATCAGACCAACGTATTTGAGGACACTTAAAGTCGCGCATAAGCAGAAATTGTGGACGACCCATGTGGGCTTGAAAATGGGGCAGCCAATCCAAACAACGACTAAAGGGACTGCGATAAACTGCGCCCAAAAGCTGTTCTCCGCGCCTGCGGCGGAGGAAGCACCACAATAGCTCACACAGACCATCGTCACTTCGGTAGGTGCTCACAAGTCTCCCACGTAGGGAGGACCAGATGTAAAATAAGACACCACCGTGGGCATTATTTAGTCTATCGCATCGGAAACACGAGTAACCGTTGAGTTCAAGTTCTTGGGTGTATAACTCTGCATGCAGCTATGTCTCTGCGAGTCCCACTACGTCTGGCCGCTCAGACGCAACGAAATAACAAAGCTCATCGCGCTTATTCATATTACTGCAAATATTTTTGAAGGCTACTCGCAGGACGCAGCAGGAGCCGCCGGACGTGCTTGAATTGTG